TTAGGGACCTTAGATTGTACGCCCCTTGAGGGTTAGGGACCTTAGATTGTACGCCCCTTGAGGGTTAGGGACCTTAGATTGTACGCCCCTTGAGGGTTAGGGACCTTAGATTGTACGCCCCTTGAGGGTTAGGGACCTTAGATTGTACGCCCCTTGAGGGTTAGGGACCTTAGATTGTACGCCCCTTGAGGGTTAGGGACCTTAGATTGTACGCCCCTTGAGGGTTAGGGACCTTAGATTGTACGCCCCTTGAGGGTTAGGGACCTTAGATTGTACGCCCCTTGAGGGTTAGGGACCTTAGATTGTATGACCCTTGAGGGTTAGGGACCTTAGATTGTAGGGTTAAGGATCTTAGATTGTACGCCCCTTGAGGGTTAGGGACTGATGTGAATGTACAATATATATGTAAAGCGCTGCGTAAATTGAGGGCGCTATATAAGTACCTGAAATAAATAAAATATCAAAGGTCGCTTTCCTTTATACCATTTTGCAGAATTTGTTGGTATTATACAAATGAAACAAACTACATAAAAATAATATATATAAAAAAAAAAAAAAGCCTCTTCCAAAAATAGATTTAGCACTCCCTAGTGCATGAAGTTTCTTTTTTTCCTGCACATAGATTATTTTTATGACTTCAAAAGCCAAAAAGTATTTTTCTTTCCATTTTATTTGAAAAATGTGATACGACGATAAATATAAACTAGTCAGGAAACAATAAAAAAAGTCTGTTCCATCAAGAACTTAAATCTCTAGAACCATTTAGCGAATCGAAGAAGAGGAAAATATTGATGAGGAAGTTTTACTTTATTCAAATTCAGAGCTGAAATGTTTAATCAAACAACAATGTTATGGCAGGAAGTGGTTGGGTGGACAATAGCTTCAATCCTTCTACGCTCTATTCTAGGAAATAGGTTTGGCTTTCATCACTGTAGGACATGTGGTAACTTTATAAGTATGCATCTCCCTCTCTCTCTAATGATTGTAGCGCACGGACAACTCTAACAATACTTTTGTGCTGTTTTGGTGGGATATATTTATAAAATAGAGCTTTTTATTATAGCCGATCACAAATATCTAAATGAATGTCTTGTCCTAAATGCTAATCACACAAAGGGAGGGATAAAAACGAGAACCGTGCCAAGAATCCATTTCTAAAAATATCGGGTGGTTTGAAATATTGCTATATAAATAGTGGACAACAAATAAGTCATATACGGTGAAAATATCTTGACAAACAAGTGGGCAAAAGCGATGCGATGATAAAGTACTTTACCAATATCCTGATCTTGAAAGGCACATTGTTATACGTTCCAAGAAGAGTCTTGACTGTAGGCCAATTTTCAAAAAACCCATAATTAATGCTGTGGAATTTGATTTTTTTTTTTTCAATCGAGATAGTATCTAACCAATGCATAGAACTTTGCAGTACTTGAAGACCACAAGCTTTCTATACAGAGATCTCTTTAAAGAGTGACTCCACCTTTGTGTAGGAATTCAGTGATAAATTATAGGGTTCGTTAACAATTCCGATATAATGATTTGTCAGGACCCGTACCTGAACCTGCAACCTCTGCCGTCTGTGGAAGTATCTCTTCTTACTGAGCCACCTGAAATGCTGGAGAGTGTCCTGGACAATTTCTTGGACAATCTTGTTTTGAACCTTGTTTCTGATTATTCCTGAACTCTTTGCTCCTCCGATGAGCTTACTATTTAAACCTTTTGCAGTTCCTGTTTGCCAGATTATTGTGCTTTCTCCAGCCAATATCTTGTTCTTGCCACTCCTGCTGCTGTTCGTATCTCCGCTACCACTCATTACCGACCTTTGGCTTGTTCCTCGAATACGCTTCTGCTTGATCCCAACCACTTGTTACGGACCTTTGGATTGTTCCTCGACTACGCTTCTGCTTGATCCCAACCACTTGTTTTGGACCTTTGGCTTGTTCCTCGAATACGCTTCTGCTTGATCCCAACCACTTGTTACGGACCTTTGGCTTGTTCCTCGACTACGCTTCTGCTTGATCCCAACCATTCATTACGGACCTTTGGCTTGTTCCTCGACTACGCTTCTGCTTGATCCCAACCATTCGTTACGGACCTTTGGCTTGTTCCTCAACTACGCTTCTGCTTGATCCCAACCACTTGTTACGGACCTTTGGCTTGTTCCTCGACTACGCTTCTGCTTGATCCCAACCACTTGTTACGGACCTTTGGCTTGTTACTCGAACACTTATGCTTGATCCCAACCATTCATTATGGACCTTTGGCTTGTTCCTCGACTTCGCTTCTGCTTGATCCCAACCACTTGTTATGGACCTTTGGCTTGTTCCTCGACTGCGCTTCTTGCTTGACCCCCTACCACTCATTATGGACCTTTGGCTTGTTCCTCAATTATGCTTCTGCTTAATCCCAACCTGCAAGCACTTGTTTACCCACCTTTCGCTTGTTCCTTGACAATGCTTCTGCTTGATTCCCAATCTGCAACCACTTGGTGCCAATCTTTGACTTGTTTACTGACTATGCTTTTGGTTGATCCCTACTGGCTATATCTACTACTGGACTTAGCTTTCTCACCTCCTGGTGGGGCAATCCTTAGGCTTGTGACCTGGTATTAACATGCGCAAAACCCATCTCTGCCATCAGGAGCTCTGGTGAATACAGGTTAGTGCTTAGACCAGCATCATCTGCCAGGAAGGCCTGCTTGTATACTTGTTCTGTTGGTCACTGGGAGCTACTGGTACTAGCTACTGGTCTCTGAGCGTGACCCCTGACTGTGACATGAATATTGTACAACAGCCATTCTAAACCCATCCATGCCATCAGGAGCTCTGGTGAATACCAGTTAGTCTTAGACCAGCATCATCTGTCAGGATGACCTGCTTGTATACTTATTCTGCTGGTCACTGGGAGCTTCTCCACTGGTACTAGCTACTGGTCTCTGAGCGTGACCCCTGACTGTAACATGAATATTCTACAGTAGCCATTCTAAACCCATCTCTGCTATAAGGAGCTCTGGTGAATACCAGTTAGTGCTTAGACCAGCATCATCGCCGGGGTGACCTGCTTGTATACCTATTCTGCTGGTCACTGGGAGCCTCTCCACTGGTACTAGCTACTGGTCTCTGAGTGTGACCCCTGACTGTAACATGAATATTCTACAGCAGCCATTTTAAACTTGGGTTCCATGGAACCATATTGTTCCTTCAGAGGTTGCTGGGGGGTTCCTTGAGCTGTGGCGGATTGACCTCCCATTTGATGGTACCAGCATAGTTCACAGCACCTGGCAGAGTCAGCAGCGTTACACCAATGATCTTTTTTTTGCTCTCTGTAAGGGTGGCATTCTGACCATCACTGTAATGGAGGCATTCTTCCCACTGACCACCAATGTAAAGGGCATTTTACCTACTGATGAATTTGTTTTAGTTGGAGTTTCCCGAAACCTGAAAATTATTCCTAGTGTTCTGGGCCAAAAAGCTTGACAAAGGCTGTTCTATATTGTTCTCTGCTAGTAGACTAACAGAGGCCATGGACATTAGAGGTCAGCTGGTCTTGCAGGCACAGTCCAAATGGTCAGGAACTGAAAAAAAAATCAGTCATGAAAAAAAGGAACATTGCTAGGATTCTCCTAAACTGCATGTCCAGACATCAGCCAAACTTATCTTTGAACCTCCTTCTATTCATAGCATTTTTTTTTTTCCTTTTACTTTCTAACATTCTTGCAGGGGCAGTTATTGGGAGCTTATTGGGGGTTCCTATTGAGGCATGCGTCCAGAACTGCATCTCCCAAATGTTTTTTTTCCTACACAATGCTTGAATAGACTCTTGGGAGTTAGGGCAGTAGCATTATTTTTCTAAGAAATAAACTAACATATACATTTGGGAGATGGAACAGAGAGGGTTGGGGGCTAGACAGAGTTCTGTAGCCCAGCAGGCAGGGCTGTCAATGCTATCTGACATTTCAATGCAATAAGGCATGTGCCATCAGCCCAGACAAGACGTTAAGTGTACACTGGATTCCTGGCAGATCCACAGGTATTGCTCTGTATTTGCAGTGTTTTTAAAAGGGTAAAACATGGAGCGTGTGCATGCATTGCGGGGATTTCTATATATATATATATATATATATATATATATATATATATACACACACACTATATTGCCAAAAGTATTGGGCCTCCTGCCTTTACACGCACATGAACTTTAATGGCATCCCAGTCTTACTCTGTAGGGTTCAATATTGAGTTGGCCCCGCCCTTTGCACCTATAACAGCTTCAACTCTCTTCTGGGAAGGCCGTCCACAAGGTTTAGGAGGGTGTATATGGGAAGGTTGGACCATTCTTCCAGAAGCACATTTGTGAGGTCAGGCACTGATGTCGGGGGAGGAGGCCTGGCTCGCAGTCTCCGCTCTAATTCATCCTAAAGGTGTTCTATGGGGTTGAGGTCAGGACTCTGTGCAGGCCAGTCAAGTTCCTCCACCCCAAACTGGCTCCTCCGTGTCTTTATGGACCTTGCTTTGTGCACTGGTGCGCAGTGATGTTGGAACAAGAAGGGGCCATCCCCAAACTCTTCCCACAAAGTTGGGAGCATGAAATTGTCCAAAATGTCTTGGTATGCTGACGCATTAAGAGTTCCCTTCACTGGAACTAAGGGGGCCAAGCTCACCCCCTGAAAAACAACCCCTCACCATAATCCCCTCCCACCAAACTTTACACTTGGCACAATGCAGTCAGGCAAGTACTGTTCTCCTGGAAACCGCCAAACCCAGACATGTCCATCGTTTTGCCAGACAGAGAAGTGTGATTGGTCACTCCAGAGAACACGTCTCCACTGCTCTAGAGTCCAGTGGCGGCATGCTTTACACCACGGCATCCGACGCATTGCACTTGGTGATATAAGGCTTGGATGCAGCTGCTCGGCCATGGAAACCCATTCCATGAAGCTCTCTACACACTGTTGTTGTGCTCATCTGAAGGCCACACCAAGTTTGGAGGTCTTTAGCTATTGACTCTGCAAACAGTTGGCGACTTCTGTGCACTGTGCGCTTCAGCATGCACTGACCCCGCTCTGTCATGTTACGTGGCCTACCACTTGGTGGTTGAGTTGCTGTTGTTCCCAGTTGCTTCCACTTTGTTATAATTCCACTAACAGTTGAGCGTGGAATATTTAGTAGCCAGGAAATGTCACGGATGGACTTATTGCACAGGTGACAACCTATCACGGGACCACGCTTGGAGTCACTGAGCTCCTGAGAGCGACCCATTCTTTCACCAATGTTTGTAGAAGCAGTCTGCATGCCTAGGGGCTTGATTTTATACACCTGTGGCCAGGAGGTGATTGGAACACCTGAATCCAATAGAGAACTCACAATAGTCAATAAATATAAGGCACATCAAAAGGCTCTGCGGAAGAGGCTAGTCCTCGAAATGCATCATCCTTTTATATGTCCATCATTCTCATCATAAGACGGAAACGCAGTGCGAATTGGACAGAGCGGTTCCTTCATGATGTGCCTTATATTTATTGACTATTTTGAGTAGAATACATTTCCAATAAACATACTTTTAAGGTAATGCACAAGGCCGATGCGCCCTCTGTTTGTTTTTCTCTATTCAGTACTTTTGGATTCCCCGGTTCTTTGAGGGAGGCCAGGTGTGCATATTCCAAGAGGTTCGTTGTGTGGTCCCTATAATATAGAGTCCACCCCCAAGCACAGCAGTATCTGGGTTTTTCCACGTCTACACAACCTAAATCCAATGATTGGGAGGGCGGGGGGAAATACTTTTGGTGATATAATGTATATAGGAATACTGTGTATAGTACATTATGGAGTTGATTTACCAAATGCAGATAGATTGTGCACTCTGCAAGTGCAGTTGCTCCAGAGCTTAGTCAATGAGGGGAAGCTTTGCTGACTTCCATCATCCAATCATGTGCAAGAAAAAATGATGTTCTTTTTAATTTCCTTGCATGTGATTGGGTATTCTTGGCAAAGGGAAGTTTTACCTCATTGACTAAGCTCTGGAGCAACTGCACTTTCAAAAGTGCACGGTCTATTTGCCTTTAGTAATTCAACCCCTATGTTTATATAAATATATTACAGGGGCGGACTGACCATTTGGAAACTCGGGCACTGCCCGAGGGCCCGGGGTCAGTAGGGGGGCCCATGAGATGCCCCTGGTATCTTTTTCATAGGCTTTTTTGAGTTTGGGCAAGGACACAGGGGCCCCATGATTTCCTATTGCCCGGGGGGCCCCATGAGTTGTCAGTCCACCCCTGGTATATTATCTACAAAATGTAGATTACAGTATTGAATGGGTTATTGGTCTCATCTATCTAGTCGTATCCAACCCTTGGCGATTGCATGGACTATCACTTGTAAGTGACTTTTTCCATGAATTCTCTTAGCAATTATATTACAGGGTAGGTTGCCAGGTCTTCCCCCAACTCCCACCATGCAGGAGATCCCACATGGCCAGGGATGAAACTAGGACAATTTAGACAGGAGCCAAGTAACCTACCAGCATGTATTTGGATGGAAACCCACACAAACACAGGGAGAATGTGCAAACTCCATGCAGGAGGCACCATGGTTGGGAATTGAACCCATGACCTAATTACTGCAAGGCAGAAGTGCTAACCACTAGGCCACTGCGTCACCCATATTAGTCTCTTACAAATACAAAATTAAAGTAAAGAAACTGTTTATTTTTCTTATCTCTTCTAGACATGTGCAGAATAAAAAACATTAATTTTGTTTATTAGTTTTCAAATTCGATTCAAATTTTCCGAATTCAGATAAATTGAATTCAATTAGACCGAATCGAAAAGTATTGAATTTGAAATTATTCTATTTGAAATTTGAATTTTGGAAGAATTTTAAATTGCTTCTATTCTATTGTTTTTTTCTATTCTATTAATTTCTATTCTATTCTTTTGTTTTCAATTCTATTCATTTCTATTACATTCTTTTCGACTCTATTCTAATCTATTCTATTGTTTTACATTCTACTCCTTTCTATTATTTTATATTCTATTCTGTTCAGTTTTATTATATTCTTTTCTATTTTGTTTTATTCTATTCTTTTCAAAATTCAACTTTTGGAAGGCGGCTATATTCTATTTTATTCTATTTCTTTTCTCTTTGTGTTCTATTCTTTTCTATTCTATTCCTTTATTTTCTATTCTATTTTATTCCATTCTTTCATTTTTCTATTCTTTTCTGTTCTGTTTTACTGTATTCTTTTCTATTCTAGTCTATTTTTGTTTTCACATTCAACTTCATTTTCAAATTCGAATTTGACTCGAATTTCGGTCAAAATGTTAGTTTATTTTGAATTTCTTTCAAATTTGTTGCTCTTGTAATTTGGAAATTCGGATACAACTGAATCTCCAAATAACAAAAAAATTCATTCAAATTTCAATTTGGAATTAAATGAGCCGCACACCTCTAATATCTTCTACCTATGAGATAACAGAAAGTCAGATGTGTTAAAAATATTTTACCTCAATGCCACCTTTATATCAAATATCTTCATTGATGATATATGTAATGCAATATATGTGCACCTCAGATCACAGGGTTTCACTGAAAGCTGTGGCTGAGTTAATGAACAAGTGGCTTATCCTGTAATTAATTTTATCACTGTAGTTTCTCAACAAGAATAGACAGCATCCAGATCACCCTCCTGAATTCACCTTGGGTTACGAAAGAATGCTGAACTTACTCTTCCTGGGTTGGTGATAATTTGGTGTCTGATACCACTAATCTCCTGCCTCCGTGGGCCTGTGCTACGCATTAGTATGAATGAGTGGAGTGGGGGTGATTTCTGCTAAATTGATTTCACCATTTTGACAAATTGAAAATCTCAATTTCGCTTATTATTGCAATTCCGAATTGCCTAATGTAAACAGTGCCAAAGTTGTACCTTTTTATCTTCAGACATCTCTGATCCACAGTCATTTAAAGCATACACTTTACACAGAACCTCTGATTGTCAGAATGCAGAGATCGGATATCACAGAGTGCACAGCATAGAGCAGGGAGCTGAGTGTGGTCTGAGACCTGAGTGGAGGAAGAGTACACACCCCTTTAACAAGGTCCTAAAGCAGTGGTCTCCAAACTGTGGCCTGAGGGCTGGATGCGGCCCTTTGCTAGCTTTATTCCGGCCCTTGGGGCACTATTCCTCCCACTGATATGAGGCACTATGTCTTCCACTGATATTACCAATGGGGCATAATTGCTGCCACTGACACCAATGATGGGACACTATTCTTCCCACTGATACCAACAACGGGACACTATTCCACCCACTGACACCAATGATGGGACACTATTCCTCCCACTGACACCAATGATGGAGCACTATTCCTGCCACTGATACCAATGATGGGGCATTATTCCTCCCACTGACACCAATGATGGGGCACTATTCCTCCCACTGACACCAATGATGGGGCACTATTCCTCTCACTGATACCAATGATGGGGTACTATTCCTCCCACTAATACCAATGATGAGGCACTATTCCTCCTACTGACACCAATGATGGGACACTATTCCTCCCACTGACACCAATGATGGGGCACTATTCCTCCCACTGATACCAGCAATGGGACACTATTCCTCCCACTGACACCAATGATGGTGCACTATTCCTCCCACTGATACCAACAATGGGACACTATTCCTCCCACTGATACCAATGATGGGACACTATTCCTCCCACTGATACCAATGATGGGGCACTATTCCTCCCACTGATACTAACAATGGGGCACTATTCCTCATACCGACACCAACAATAGGGCACGGTTCCTTCCATTGATACTAATGTTGGTGTAATATTCTTCCCACTGATACCAATGATATGGTACCAGGGGCGGACTGACAACTCATGGGGCCCCTGTGTCCTTGCCCAAACTCAAAAACGCCTATGAAAAAGGTTTCAGGGGCATCTCATGGGGCCCCCTACTGACCCTGGGCCCTCGGGCAGTGCCCGAGTTTCCAAATGGTCAGTCCGCCCCTGTATGGTACTGTTCCGTCCAGTAATACCAATGATGAGCTACTATATCTCCACAGGCACTATGTAACAGACTACTATCCCTGAGCCAAGGTTAATTCTCACTGATGCTGGGTCCAGGACATTTTTGACCCCCTGTCATGTTTCACATGACTGTCATATGCCTTTAAGTGTTCTCTGTATTTTGTCTCTGCTCCTCCCTTTTCTCTGGTTTTTTTAATGCTGTATAGATAGCCCACCCCTTTTCCCAGAAATGCATTTCAGCTTCAAGCCTCATGTCATGAAGTAGATCACATTATGATCTTTTGGCCTATCCGATGTTCATTGTTGTAAGATTCGCTCAGTTTATTAAATAAACTTCACAAGATCTACAAGGTGTCATCTGATCGAGTCACTGCCTGTGTTATTCAACTAAGATTGGAGTTATCGCTATCTCATCACAACTGTAAGTTACAGAGATCACACTTTCAATGCTTAGATTGGAGAGACAGAACACCCCCATTGGTCACAATCTGGCCCTCCTAAAGTCTGAATGTTAGTAAACTGGCTCTTTGAAACATTTGGAGAGCCCTGTCCTGTAGGGAAACATGCAAAGCTGAGGCTGTCAATCACAGGATGTGTGCTAGAGATTCCCTCTCCTGTACTCCAGGAGTCTGCATAATCTATAAAAAGTGACTTATGCAGTGGAAGGAGACAGCAGACAGAAATGATACTTAGTGCTCTGAATTGAGTGCACTATAGAAGGTTATGCTTTGGTACTTTTTCATTTCAGAGATTCATAACCACAATAAAGTCTACTGCAATTTTTCTTACCTCTACAAACAGGCGGACTGTACATTTAAAGTGGTTGTAAAGGCTCAAGGTAAAAAAAAAAACCTTCTCTGTGCAGCCCCCCCCCCTTATACTCACCTAACCCCCTTCTTGATCCAGCAACGTGCACTGGAGTCACAGCTATCCTGGGGCTCCCTCTCCTCATTGACTGGTACAGCAGTGGGAGCAATTGGCGCCCACTACAGCCAATGAGAAAAGAGAGAGCCACGGCTCTGTGTGTGAATGGACACATGGAGCAGAGGGTGCCCCATAGCAAGCTGCTTGCTGTGGGGGCACCCGACAGGATTGAGGAACCAGGAGCGCCGGTGTGGGACCCGAGAAGAGGAGGTTCTGGGTGGCTTTGTGCAAAACCACTGCACACAACAGGTAAGTATAGACATGTTTAAAAAAAATATATATATATATAGCCTTTAGTATCACTTTAACCCCCCTGGCGGTATTTCCGAGTGTAGCTCGGGGTAAAGTTTCAGTACCACAAGTGGTAACCCCGAGCTACACTCGGGCTTACCATGCAGCGCTGCTCTGGGATCTGTTCTTCTCTTACCTTGTCCTGCGCTCCCGCGATGTCCCCCCTGCAGTGTCCCCTGTAATGTCCTCCGGTGGATGCCGGCATCTGTCTTCCGGGTTCCGTCCCCTGCGAGCGTCGGGACATACGGGGGACGGAACGGCGGGAAATTTGAAATGACAAAAAGTGACATTCACTAAATACACTAAAATCACATAGTAAAACATTACTATATCAAACCATTTCACATACATTTTGTCCCGAGTGCTTTGTCCGGTGCCCTGCCTGCATTTTTACTGTTCTTTCTGCCTGGAAACTGAGAAACGTCCATGGCGTCCAAAAAGCGTCCCTTTAGGTCAAAAGTGGTTTTAGACCGGCTAGAGAACAGCGATAGTAAATCAGAACCACTTGCAGAATTGAGTGATAATGATTCGTGGGGGAAATTCCTCATCAGACACTGAAAATGATTCTGCGACTTTGTTCAGCGATGTGCGAACTTGGCGCTCTAGT